TCCGCGTCGAAACAATCGTCTTAGTTTCTACACGATGCAATTGTCAAGGTCAAGCGTCCCTGTAGCTGGCCCCCCGTACCTTAGCTCCTTGTTTTAGAAATTTTAAGAAATTCAGTACCTTGGTTACCGCAGGAGGAAGCGGTTATTGTCAGTGTGTCACGTTTGGCGGCGAATTGCTTACTGCGCGACTACTAACGTAAGTAAAATTCGTGCGACTGGTTTTTAATATATTTGAAATATTATTAGATTTCAATATTGTTTTATGTAAATTTCATAGTGATTCAATGCTTTTATTCATTTTGGGTGATTTATTGTAATAAATCTTATTTTTGTTTAGTAAATTCGTGTTAAAGTTAAATAAATGATAGATTGCCTTGATATAATTAGATGTTTAATAATAATTAGATTTATAATTAGAAGCCAAGAACATTGTTCGGATTTAGTGAGAAGAAGGTTCTCATATCCTATGTACCAGACAAGCAGCAAAAAAAAGTGGTTCTGCTATTATCAACTTTACACGATGATAACAAGATCGATGAAACTACCGGAGCTGCTGAAAAAACAGAAATCATAACATATTATAATGGAACTAAAGGTGGAGTTGATGTAGTCGATCAAATGAAAGAAGAATATTCTGTGGGTAGGATGACTCACAGATGGCCAATGAGATTATTTTTCTCAGTCCTAAATATTGCCGGTATAAATAGTCATATTATATACAAAGAAAATACAGACCACCTTATGTTACGACGAATTTTTTTGAAAGAAATAGATCTGGCTTTGACTAGACCACATATAATTAGAAGATCCAAAGTAAATACTTTGCAGAAACAGCTGAGAAACCAAATTGCCCGTTTTGTGCCACCAGAACAACAAAATATACCCTCAAATAGAGAAGGAATATGTGCAGTATGTCCGTCCAAAAAAAAATAGAAGAACCAAAAAAGGGTGCAATAGATGTGAAAAGTTACTGTGCAACGAACATTGTATGTTCATGTGTCAGGACTGTTTTGCTGAAGTACATATCGTAGATATTGAAAACGTTTAAATTTGTTAATAAATCTTATTTTTTAATCTTTTAATGTAGGTTAAGGTAAAGACGTTGTTAAAATACCTAAAAAATATCCTAAGATATCCCAAAGCATATTTTTTCATAAATATTAAGCACAAAACTTTAATAAATGTTACTTTCTGAAAGTTTATGTTTTATTCTGTCCTTTTAAAATTATTGTAAATTTGTTAAACTATAATATAACAAAAAAAAAATATTGAAAATGGGCGGCAAAATGCTCCCCACGCGATCACTCACGTTTCATAGCAATGCGCGACTACTCTAGGGTTAAGAGAAAATAATAACCGGCCAAATGCGAGTCGAACTCGCGCACCTAGGATTCCGTACAAACATGTAGTTACATATTTATTAAAAATTATTTCAATTGTATGATGTAACAAAAAAAAAATTCGGTTTTAACTAATAATTTTATCTTTGCTATAAGACGTTGCTTCGTATCAAATTTCGGTGTCGAAAAGTTGCAGCATAAACGACTGTATCTTTTGATTGCGTTGGTTTAGAAGTTTAATTCTTTCATAGCTCCATGGGACCGTAGATCTGAGTATTTGTTTAAATTTCAGCTCGATACCTTCGCGCGTTCCTGAGGAAAAGGGTCTTGACAGACGGATGGAAGGACAACAAAGTGATTTTATATCCGTTTTTTCATTCGAGTTACGGAACCCTAAAAAGAATGATGAATGATCATAAATATTATTCCTCTATTTTTTTTTATTGTGATTTGCCCTAATACTTCTTTTTACTTGGAATTTACGTATTAGAAGTTGGTATATCCATTAAGTTTTTAAATTAAATTGTTTTATAGTGCTGTCATTTAGTTTTTTTGAAGTTGATAACTTCATCAATTGCGAGAACAGACACAATTAACCTATTTCGTTTGTGTACATAAATTTTATATTGGTGATTTGATATGCGCCCTCTTAATGCACCGGTCGCGCCGTTCTGATACACGTGCTTGCTTGTATCAGAAATAGAGCTTTAAAGGTCGTCGAGCACCCAACATGATTAAAATTTTAAAAAGACCTCTTACTACTAGTTGTTTTGGTTCGATACACGCAACTTTTATCTTGTCTTCGGTTTTTATATCGAGCTTCAGTTTCACTTTGCGTCGACATTCCGTCTGTCTGGAGAGTGGCACTTGTCGAGTCCCGGTCCCCACCAGATTCTTATCACTCACTAGCACTAATTTAATCATCTGTGGAACAATCTAGTTAAGAATTTTATCAGTTTAGTTGAAACTGATTATAAGTGATTTCACAACATATACAACGACCAGTTGCTGTTAGTCTGCCTTGTTCAAGTGATGCTTTAATCAATTTTAAAGAAACTATCACCTTTTTGATGTTTTTTTTTTTATACTGGCACAAATATGCTAACCAGTGTCAATTATTTACTCAAAGAGAATTTATCTAGTATTATTATTCCTTACTTTTCTAAATATTGTAATCACGCACAATTTTTCTGAATATTATAACACTATTCAGTGTGAACAATATGTTACTACCTAATTATCTAACAAAGTTGTGTAACAACATGTTTCATCTGCAGCTTCTCATTTACAGTGTGAATAAGCGTAAGTTTACCCTCTGAAATGGAACGGGGCAGCCTCCTTTGACCCTTTGAGGCTTTCAAACTCCGCGACTATTATGCATGGGAAGTACTTACATCGACTACGAACATTTAGTGCTAAGATATTATGTTCGACAACTACTTAAAATAGTTCAGGTGCTTAAAATCACTTTTAAGCAAGAGATAAAAAAAATATGTCATATATGACAAATTGTATTGTGCGTAATCATAATAACTTCTTATAAAGTGGTATTTTTTAAGCTTCCTAATAAAATCTATATAACGGTTAATAAAATTAAAACAATAATGTTGTACCAAAGAGTGGTGCAATTTGTTTTTCTGTTGTTTGAGCTTGTATTATTCTAAATAAAAGTAAATTGATTTGAGAAATAGAAGTAATACTTATAATAATTAAGAGAAAAAATAGAATCATCAATCAATATGATGACATTTTTTTACTATTTAGTATTTATATACGGAAGTCATATTTGATTATATCTCAAAAAATATTATTATTACAAATAGTAAAGTATTGTTAAATATTGATTATTAAAGTTTGAAATTATAGTCTAGACTCTAGACTTGTATCTACTATTGACGTCACATGCAGTCTAGACTTGTCTGACTCAAGAAAGACCCCGGGACATTGATCTTCTAATATACGGGTTTACTGTGCATCCTTCATATATTTCTAGGAAATATTTTTTTATAAGCTTTATTTATATTACCATGTTATTTGTTTGTTAGTGTGGTGAAAGCTATAAAGCTAAATTTGACTTTCTTACCGCTTATCGATTGAGCTGAAATTTTGCATGCATAATACCGAATGGAACTGATATGATGATGGAGCTGGATGGTAGCCCTTAGACCTATGTAATTAAAGCCCGTCGAGTTTGGGTTAGTATCATTTGTATTGGCAAGGGCTTTGGTCCGAGATAATATCCAGAGTGATGATGGAACTGGATGGTGACCATAGGTACTTCGTAATTAAGTTACGCAATCCTGGCCAGTTTGATCGGTCTATACGAGATTTCTTGGTCAAGATAATATAAAACTTTTTGTTAGTTTCCTTAAAAATATATTTTAAAATTATTAAATTGAAATAGTTACTGATTGTTTAGAAGACAAATAAACAATTTGTTTATTATTATCATATACTTTGATTGACTTACTAAAATAATCTTTAAATAAAATAGTATCTACGTGAATGTTGAAATTCGTGTGTATGGTGCTCCGTGCTAATAATAAATTCGGGGATGTAAAGGGAGCCGGGGGCAATAACCTCCCACCCTTAGTTTTCTTGAAGTTCATGAGTTTACCTTCGCGCACCCTCAGCCACTTTTAAAACGGGATAGATCTTTATTATATTATTTAAGCTTCTAATATTGAATGCTAACTTGAAGCAGAGATAAAATCATTTGAATGTGTTCTTTTTTTATATGTAAGAGATTTTTATACCGATTTATATAATTTTATCGTTAATTAATATCATGTACAGAATAGGAGAGTTTTATTATTATCTGGAACCTAATGCCTCTAATATATTATCGTATCCTAATGTTTTTAACATTGATTTTAGTTCGGCGTTGATGCGCCAGAACCACGCACTCAATCTAACGGGAATTTTTTGGTTTGAAACTCTACTGCTCGCGACAAACCCTCTGACCGTGAATATTTATAAGACTAATTTTCTTTTGGGTGCGTAAATTGAGTTTTATAGTCGATTTAAATTTAATTAAGTCGTGCTTATGAAGACTGAACTTTTCAAGACGACAGAGTTGAAAGAATTTATTTATTCATCAAGAGTGATCATCATTTATTAATTTTTGTATTATCTATTTATAAACACAAATTTAATTTAAAAATTTAAGACCTTTACGACATAACGAAATCATTTAAAAAGGGGACGTTTTGTTATTAAGGCATTAGCTTGGTAGGATCCTTAGATACTTACCACACAAGTTTTCTATGTTTTTGATTTAGGTTGCTTTACTTTTACAGAGTTTTTTTTATGTTTGTGGCCATCAAAAGAAATCTGAATAAATTGTTTATATAGTGTACATTATACTCTTAGTATGAAATGAATAAGAATATTTGAGTGAGCTTTCGGCACATGGAACTAACGTGTTGTTATTGAACAGGTTATTGCATAACATTTTTGGTACATTTTCGCACCATCTATCGAGTGTTGTAATTCTTCACAATTGATGTAGATACAAAAAGTGAGTCAAAAGGACTTATTGTTGGAGCGCTGTGGACTCACCATAATTATGCTAATTTTAGCAGAAGTAGGACCTAGACAGATAAACGCGGCGTTTTAGTGTAAACGATATGTCATATTGTGTCTTTTCAATTGTTGTAGGGCGGCTACCCGGCAAAGTTGAAGAAAGTGTTGATTGTGACGGCGCCATTGTGGTTCAAAGCCCCGTTCCGCATCCTGCGGCTATTCGTGAGAGAGAAGTTGCGGGAGCGCGTGCACACGGTGAGCGCTCCGCAACTGGGCGTGCACGTGCCGCGTGCCAGTCTGCCGCGGCAACTAGGTGGGCAGCTAGACCCTGATCACGCCGCGTGGTGAGTCAACCGTGGAGAAATATATCCGGTTGTATGTTAATACACTATATACTTATAATAGAAACTAACTATATCATCTCTTTAACTTATGTTAAATAGTTTAATTAGGGGTGTAGACAACTTTTTTATTTTTTTTATTTTATAAATATACTCATACATAAAACACGGCACTCTGAAACGAGTAAAAATATTTGCTTTTTTCATAATAAGTTTAGAAAATATTATAAGCATAAAGGCAAAAATGTCGATGGAGTATCTGCCAATTATTTCATTTGTCTTCTTTTTTAAAGGAAATAATTAAAATGTGCCTTTTTTTTCATTATCTTAAAGTTGAAATTCATAATGAGGAGGCGGATTTTAATAGGTCGTTACAAATATTTTCTCGCTACGCGGAATTCGTAAAATTATTGGGCAAGTAACAAAAGATATTTTGTTTCTTCAATTAATATTGAGAAGAATATATTCAGATAATTTGGGATAATCTGCCCTGAAACCAGTGCGTCATTAATTTAAGTTTATGCGTAGATGATAAGTTGATTGGATTATTTTTACGAATAATTATTAATGCTATATTTCAAATTATAATTGAACTCGTCTAATATTTGATAAAGGAAACCAATGACATCTGGGGTTTACATTGACTTGACAAACGAACGTGCGAAATAATGCTAGAGATGACACGATAGAACTAGTATCTGGAAATTGTGATAGCCGATATCTTTTGTGATAGTAGTTGAGATAATGAAATAGTTGCAGCCCTCAAAGGGCTCGACAGGGAAGGGATTCATAAAAAAAAGTTCCAATGCTACAATTGTGTTTTTATATAATTGATAATTTATGTGTGATGCTAAAATTGGAAAATATATTGTTTGATCGTGATCAAAACCACGTATGTGTTTAAATTCGTCTCATATGGTGGAGTTGCCTGGGCACATTAATGCTGTGCTTACGTAACCATGATTTCGATTGTTCGCGAACCATATCTGTACATGCTAATATAGGACAATGACTTCACTGTACGCTTTGCTATACGCATATCATTAGTTTCATGAGTAGGTACTTTTGTCGCCCACTTGAATCCGATCAATGCGGATATTGACGATTTCGAGAACGTGTTACGATGTTAAAATATTATTGCAGGTTGGAACATTGTAAAAATTGCTACACAAACAACATTCAGAGTTCAAAGTTGGACGGAATTATAGACGAATATGTAATAAGCAATCACATACCCGCAGCCAAGCCACAAAATGGTAAGCAGACATCAGTACTTACCAAACTTTCTAGTAAAGCATACCTAAGGTATTAATTATTTTGTTGCACAATCAATATTCTTGTATTATTGAGAATTCTCACCCTTATTCAACTATTATTAATCTCTGAAAGTATTTTCTAATGTGCCTTCTGACATATGGAGGAGAGTTCGAAGAATTTGTCACCTATCTGACGATCGGACTATGCAAAAGATGCAAAACCTCAATCGCGAGAACCACTTGTTATAATTTAGATATATATAAGTATTAATTGTCTCGAAAGGTTATGTTGATACAGTTTGAAACTAGCCTTTAGTTTGTGATTATTTTCTTATAAACAGTTGCAAATGTTGTAGTATATAGAGGTATACGTTGTGTTACTTTGCACGTCAGGTATAATTGAGCACGAGGTCGGATGTGATATGACAAGCGACAGTGCGGCGCGCCTGTGCGACAAGTCTGCAGACATGCACATAAGCGGCGACCCGCCATACACCTGCGACACTAGCCCGCTCAGGTAGGTAATCACTAAGATTCACACAAAATTAATAATAGCCTCTCATATAGAGTATCTTGCTACCTCTGTTACTTCAGTACCTAATTAAAGTAAAACACCATATAAAAAATAAATGTCGCCAGCGACTTCGTCCGCGTTTTCCATTATTTCTTCGCTTCTAATAGTTGCAGCGTGATGATATATAGCCTAAATCCTTACTCCATAAATGGTCTATTCAACACAAAAAGAATTTTTCAATTCGAACCAGTAGTTCCTGAGATTAGCGCGTTCAAACAAACAAACTCTTCAGCTTTATAATATTAGTATAGATTAGTATAGATGTAGGTTATACATTAGTAGGTAATGTTAATATCATTTTTTTTTAATATAAAATTCCTAACACTCAAATACTTATTAATGAAATTACCTCACGATATCCAATGCAGTTAGTGTAACTATTGACCGTTTTGAGCAGAGTAAAAAAAATATGGCAATTGTGTTCGTTCACATTAACTTTATTTGCGTAATATAAGATTGCTAGTCGGCTATTTTATTACTTACACAGTTCGCTCAATGCATCGGGGTATGATCAGGAAGTTGAATAATCATTCAATCAACAGCCCGTATACGCTCGCCGAGTATGCCTTGACTAGTGGAAGTATCATATGAATCGGCATATAGAATCGGACAAGCTGCCGGACTTTTTTGTTTCTATATGAATATTGTAGTACCTAATAGCCCTTCCCGTTTCTTGTTTATATTTTGTTACAAAATGATATACTTGATTAAGAAAAGTGACAAATCTTTGCCATCAAATACAGAAAACAATGAGCGGTATTTATGCTTTATATACGATGAATTCATAGAATTACACAACGTGGTGAAGTAGTTAATTGAAGTAATAATTCATTCATTCATTATGCATTGGGCCTGCCTACTTATAATACATTATCATATAAGAAAAACGACTCGTAATCTAGAACTTTTTAGTAAATGTAAATGTTACGTAAAAATGTTTTAATGAAAATAAATAATTTGATGTGAAATCTCCATTGCACTTTGACCATAATTAATTATGAACGTAATTAAAACCTATTAATACTCTAGCTATGTTTTGCTAGATATTAATTGAGTATGCCGAAAGTTTTAGTCGAGATGTAACAAAACAATGGTTGTTCAAACATTTCAAACTTTTGTATAGCAAATTGCCGGATACTTGCGTCGTAAAGTTGAGAATTTACGATTCACTTTATAGAGCCGTTTGAGGATACCGAACAATCAAGTGCACGGAAACAAAACTCTTGAGTTGCGCGAAAAATAAAAAATGAGGTCGGCAATCTTATGTCCCAGACCCCAATGGTATACCGGCAGATCTCAATTATCTTTCAATTTTACTCCACTCACTTAAGTTGATCTGTGTGCACATTGGTGGGAAAGCATGATGACTAAAGAGCACGTCTTTTATTGAGATAACATATTAATTTATTTACATTAAAGGCACATTGCGTGTATTCGTTTTATTTATCGCCGTAGTAGTGTCATAAGCGGATTTTTCAATACTTTTATGTTAGGATTTAGGAAATATTATCCGTTTCCTTTAAACCTTAACTATTTATATAATGTGCTTATTATGTAAAAAAAGATTCTCAAACATTAAGAATTGGGGATACATAATTAGAATGTAATGTTCCTTCCTTGCCTAAAATATATATATATTTCATTATATTACCGGTATCGTCGATTTTCATAAGAATCAACAATCGACACGCAATAACGACGTATTGGAATAACCTCATGCCTTTTACAGACATACACACGGCTATAATGGCGATATGAAGAGCAGGCACATAAATTCAGGAGACGAAGATGACTTAGATATAAGCAGTAAGTAAATACCTACAATAGAGTATATTACAAAATAAGTTTTGGCATTTTTTTTAATTCTGAAGCCGTTCAATTAACTTCAAAATGTTAAATACCCAATCTTAAGTTTTATGGCTCAAACGGGAGATCGCATTTTAGAGAAGAAATTTTATTCAAGTAGTAAAAGTTTGTGGTTGTATAAAATATAGGTATTATTCGAAAACTAGAACAGTTTTCGATTAAACACCCAAATTCACATTCGTGTCACTCTGGAACTTCATTGAACTAAATTTTGAGTAAAGATATGTGATATCCCGATTTTTCATTAACCTATATTATCTGACGACTACGCACTTGTAGTGAGTTCATTAACCATCGTAGAATAATCGTGTAATTTGTGTTCTGAACCTAGAAACTTAGAATTTAGGAAATATTTTATTTTTTATTTTTATATATTTAGGAAAACAAACAGTCGTTTACAATTGATATACAAAAAAAAACTTTTTTAACTAATAGACCTAACAGTTCCATTACTAAATACGAGTACTAACAAAATTTATTTAATTGCTTACTATTTACAATAGTGATGACATCGAATAAACTTAACCTACACATCAAACAAACAGCTTCTCCACAATAATCTTAAAAACTCACTCTGACTATTCATTTTTAAATATAATATCTCCCACTTTGCGTTTATATTGATTTATAGTAGCGAAAAAATGTCATTTAAATTGTCATTGTAAAATCTACAGGAGTGTCTTATAAAAGTGTTCCCAGCGTAATTTGTGGCAGTGGGTGAACAATGAAAAATGTGTTTAGAACGTGAGGAGGCTACTAGGGATTCTAAAATTTATTAATTTAATAATGAAGATGAGTCCACATAATTGTTTGTTATTTTGTAAAGGAAAACTTCATCCAGATTAACACGTCTATTTTGTAAGGAATCAATATTATACCTTTTAGATGCAGATTCATAGTCAACAAAGAAATGTCCTGTTCGGTAATCTAATTATTCTAATAGAGATCGAACGAAGGAATAATACAATATCTTATAGGTAAATATTTCCTTAAACGGCCTCGTGTATCGTAGTATCATGCCAAGTTGCTTATATGCTCTAGAGATAATTGTCTATGTGTAGATTAAAGTGCAACCTGGCATCCAGTACAACCCCGAGGTCTCTTATTACATTCACGCGCTCGATCTTACGCCCTGAAAAGATATAATCATATTCTATTGGGTTATGTTTACGAGTAAAAGTTATAGTGTAACACTTTTCTGAATTCAAGAGCAGTTGACTATTCTCATAATAAATTTCAAAGTTTTGTAAATCTGTTTGCAGCTATATAGCTTTTCTCTAGATTTTACCACCCACCCGCCACCAACGTATGATTTAGTTTTTCGTAGGAAGAATAATTTTTAAACACAGTCTAGTCAAGTAGTGGCGGAGCTTATCTATACATAGTATAAAAAAGAGTCGATTTCTGCTGTTCGTACCCAAGATTTCTTTTAAACTACGCAACAATGTATAGTGATTCAAGAGGAAGGTTTATCTTATAATAGAGGACTACACAGGTGAAGCCGCTGTCAGAAAGCTGGTTTAATACAAATAATTTTTTTTTCCTTTTTATAAGTATAGACAATACAATCTACTGCAAAGTAGAACTATTAATACTGTCTATTCCGACTGTCATACATAATTTGTCAAACAGACATGGATGTCGATGGTGACAGGATAGGTTTTGATTTTTCGGCGTATTTACAATTTATTTAATGAATTCTGATAGTCTTAATAAAAAAAATCTGGGTATGTATTAATACAGTTTAATAATAGATGGTATTATAAGTGAATTGAGTTTGTTTATTCGCTTGTTTGCAATGGAAACTTCGTAGCTACTAATAAAATTTACGATTATTTGTTTTGATTTGAACAAGAGTGCCGGTTGAAGGTAAATGTCGTAAAATGGATTCATATAAAACTCGGATACGTTTATAGTCATTTGTTCGATGTGGTTTTCGCTAGTGTGGTTTATTTTATGTGAGTTGTATTACATTTTATTTAATAAATTCATAAGGACAATTGATGATATTATATTGGTTTTATTAGAAGAAAAAATAACACAGGGTATAGTCTCCTACTTCCTGGATCCGAGCCATTGCATGCAATTTAATAATTAAAAATCATTTAAATATTTGTAAGATGTCACAAAAGCTTCGTGAGCGTAGGTGTTGCTACCAAATCATCATATTTATTCTTTCGCAATCTTCTAACACATACGCTATTTAATATGCTTTTGTTTTAGTGTGGATTTTAAAGTCGAAGATATTATATCAAACTATTGCTAAATAATTGTTGAAACAAATACATTTTTCTTTGTTACTTTTTCATAGACATATTAAAAAATTAGAAATACACTTGAATAACATATTAGTCATCTGTAAGTATATTCAACGTATCCATCATGAATCATGTTAGTATATTTGAGATTTCAAGAATTGTACATTTCGAGAATTAGATAATAAAATAAAAATAATAAAATAATTTATTTCTCACCACAAATGACACAATATAAATTATTTTATTATAATTAGATATTTTGGGAATTGGAAAATTTAGGAATAGGACATTTCGGCAACTGAAATTGTTTTACGACATTTTGAAACAGTTTGCCGTTTTGCGAAACGGATATTCTAAACTGAAAGGTTATTAATAAGTTGCCTGGTCAAAAATACTAAAAATATATTTTATTGAACCTTAGCATATTTCGAATAAAGTGTTTTTCGTCATCCCGCTTAGATGTTGTTAACGCTGTTTTGAGGCTATCAAACAACAAAAAAAAACATGATTGTTGTTGTTGTACGTTTGTATTTTGATGCGTGTGCAGCGCGCGGCACGTGGTCGTCAGGTGAGGTGTCCCCGGGTCTGTCGGACGAGGAGTGCGGCGGCGGCGGCGGTGAGAGCGCGGGAGCGCTGCTGGCGCGCGTGCGGGCGATGAGACGCCGCGGACTGGTCGCCGAGTACGACGAGATACGAGCCCGCCCGCCGCACGGCACCTTCCATCACGCCAAGTCAGTACAACTATCGTTTGTTGATATCTTCAAGAAAATTATTAGAAAGAAATCTACAGTCTCAAAGGCCCGACACGGGATTTGAATCCAATGCTTTTACCAAACCGTGCGACTGCTCTAACTAATTATCATTGTTGTCAGGTTATAAATTGGGGTAGAAAGTAAAAAAAAAATATCCGTTTTAAATCATTTCGGTTTATTTGTTTGAACTTATGAAACTCTTAAATCTTTAATAATAAACGAAATTTGCATAATAAACCCTATCATTTGAATATCATGAGATATGGTTTGCACTTTTTTATATACTGATTTACCCCCGGCATGTTTAAAACTTGTTTGTTTACGTTATACATACATCTCTGGGTTATCACAGCGTCTTATACCTTTCAAATTAATCAACCTAATAGTTTTGGATAAAATGAGCTGTGACAGAGTTACGGACAGATCAGACAGACAAGTTATCGGATTTTACAAAAATGGTGTTTTTTCCATGAAAATTATCCCTATTTGCGTAAATAAGTTTATTTCTGTGCCCACAACAATGTTCCAATTTTAATTGTCTTTAAAATAAGCTAATTACTTTTGTTATGATCTATAACAAAAATAATTAGCTTATTTCATTTATAAAAAAAAACAATGAGTAATCGTTATTTTACGAACTTTTTACACAAACCATAATTTTTAAATCTGATTACAATCCAATCATTTATTATTCCATTATTTTAAATAAAGCATAAACAGAAAATAATGAGAATACATATTATACTTTACTTTGTTACAATTAAATAATTTCTATAAAAAGATTTGTATTTCAATTTAATAATGAAGTTAGCTCCCGCCCACGGTTGAACCTTTTAGATGTTTCGTAAATGAATATTCCTTAACTTCTGTTTAGTTATTAATTATGCCAAGTTATGCTCAATTTTAACGGCAAATTATCGAATAACACATTTTCAATGAAAAGTATTTTATTTACAATATAAAAAACCAAGATATTTTAATAAGTTATTCATCAATAATTGTTTTAACAAGCATTTGTTCATAATTTTAGTGGTTAAATCAATTAATTATTCCTCTATTTTTGAATTCGTAAGCCAATTTACTTTGTAATATCGAATTTTTCGTACAATTTTATTATATTATATTTCTATAACTATAATCTAAATAATATTTCTCCAGACACATTCAGTTATAGCTTGAGTCTGTTAAAAAAGAAATCGCGGTGATCAGTAAATAAACTAACGTTAACATAGCCAAAACTATAAAAAAATAAAAAAGATTTCTAAATAACGTTGCAAATTTGATAAACTTCCAGTACACGGCGGTTAAGAACCGCTTAATGTCAATGTACTTTCTGTTTATTCCCTGTTATTGAAATTATCACGAAAATATGAATAAATAATAATATAAAATAAAAATTACATAAATATGTTATCTAACAATATTAAAACTTAGGAAAAAATGGGCATTGATAACAATTTTTCCTGTTATATGTTGTATTTATAAACGAAAGGACGACGCGCGAAGCTACGCTCGTAAACTGTTTGAAGTTGCTGTTGCACCTACAGTTATTTGAGCAGTAAACTAAAAAACATTTTTATATGAAATCAAAATGTAACGAATTATCAAAAGTAGGTACATACTAGAAGAATAAGTGGTCATTTATACAAATATATCTGTCTGTCTATTTCATCTCTCATCACGCCATATCCCTTTCGGGGCTGGCAAGGCAAAACGGTAGAACTAAAATAAAAAATAAATAACACTGTATACCGTCCATTTTATCTTATTCTTATCATTGGAATATAAAAGTATTGTTGTAATTTTTCTGTCTAGATTGCCCAGTAACCTCGCCAAGAACCGCTATACAGACGTGTTGTGCTACGATCACTCGCGCGTGCTACTATCACAGACCGATCCTGATGATCCCACTACGGATTACATAAACGCTAACTACGTCGACGGGTACAAACAGAAAAATGCCTTCATCTGCACACAAGGTTGGTTTTATTCAATAACATACTACATCAAAATTACATAGATTGTTGAGACTCTAAACTGAGAATATTTATTAAATGTCCACTACAACGTGTATTTTGTTCTGCGTTTAGTAATTCTAGGTTAGTATTCAGTATTGTTTTGGAAAATAACATAGTGTTTATACTCTTAAAAAGTAATTTTATATTTTTTGTGCCTTATTCTAATTCTTCTAGAAAATCTATTTTAAAATCACTTAGCACAATTTTTTTTTGTAATTAACTTCACACTTCTTTTAGAAATACGTGATAATTTCGATTGTGATTCTCTGAAGTGTTGTAATTAAATCAACAGTTCTTGGAACTGAGTTATACCGGTAAAACAGTGTTCATGTTGTTGTTATCCAAAGATTTGTTATGACGAAGTACACTCTTTAAATAGAATTACTACGTCATATGATTTCGTGTTCATTTAAGGTGACTTTAAGTAGTTATTGGAACCGATGATTCAAGTAACTCTTACATAGATACACCACCTTATTTATTTATATACATGAATATTTACATAGCATAAAATTACGAATAAATGGTAGGTGTTGAAAATGAAGAGTGACATGTTCATTGAAGCGTGGTTCTAATATTAAATTGTTGTGGGCGTCGGATATTCGATGTGCGTGTAAATGTTTCTCGTAAAACATAATTTCATCGTGCAACACAGTTAAAGCGTATACAATAATTTTAACGGCTTTGTTTCCTGACTACTGACTCGCTATTTTTCTCTACTCAAAATATAATATGTTGTCAGAAATTTATATCGTAAGCGTAAACGAGATAAGTTTTTACTGTCCAGTTTTTTACTAGTTTAGTATTAATAAAACAAATTTACAAAATAATATAATGTTGAAGTGTGCATAACAGAAAGCGGACCTAAAAGCCAAACTCCAACCGGAATTAAAAGCCAAAATCGTGCATAGAGCGTGTACCTTTTGGCATTCGGTTCTTTCTTTCTGCCGCATATGGGATCTGCCTCGTAGAAAGATATATTAAAACCAAACAGAGACAATTTCCTACGTTGACCTTTGTGTGTACTTCTAGATATCATAAACATTTACAGTGCTATTAATGAACAAGGTTTAGTGTCATTTAATTTACGCTAAAATTGCCATTGTAGTATTAGTCCCAGTTCATATTATACGGAGAATAAGCAAACCTACTAGGAGGTAGAAGTAAATATTAATCCTGTAGAACCTCGTACTAGGTTAACCTTGGCTAAGTCTCTGTTTAATAATATGAATTTTGACTAATACTAAGTGCAGTGTCAGCCTAAATTTACTCCAACGCTAAATCTTGTTTATTAATAACACTAATAAGGTTTACTTTACTATGACAATATTGTCAAGAATGCCAAGCGCGAGCGAAAGATTGTAATGCCGTGTTACTGTCCGAAATTCTTTCTGGTCGGTAACCGGAATTTTTGTTTCTAGTAACTTGATTCACGTTACCGACAGGTCCTTTGCCCAAAACGTTTGGCGACTTCTGGCGGATGGTATGGGAGCAGGGCACGCTCGTGATAGTGATGACGACGCGCGCGGTGGAACGCGGTCGCGTCAAGTGTGGACAGTACTGGCCACTCACTGTGGGCGCGCGTGCCACATACGCCGGGTACGCGGTCACCAACGAGGCGGTCGAGCAGGAGGACGATTACACAGTTACACATCTACTACTCACCGACCTTAGGGTCAGTTGACTTGATATATTTAATTTAATAAGGGTATTCTACTCCGTTTGAAATAATACTTCTAACTGTTTATTTTAATTGAAAAAAGCCATAAAACAAATTTTTCTGAAAAAATATCACGTTTTCTTAGCTTAAAATTAAGTCAAAATTTAACCATTTTTATACCCACATAAACGCTGTCTGTCATATTTATGACGTCACTGTTATATGTACACAAAACAGATGCATAGAGTAGAAGATTAAAAGATGTCAATAAAACAAGAACAATGCCATATGATGTAGCTTCCCGAAGCGATTCTCTCACTTACAGCTACATAATATGCGGTGAACATAAGCTTTATTTTATCTCGAAAAGTTTAATTATTAAAACGTTACCATAGTAACCATTGTTTACTATTCAATTTGTCATTGTAGTTATATCCGCGTGATAATATGAATCGATACCCAAATAATATTTCCCTAGGGATCACGCGGGCAAAGCCGCTGGCGGAAACCTAGTAATGTATATAATTGTTGTGCAGACGGAGCAGTCGCGTCGCGTGTGGCACGGACAGTACACGCGGTGGCCGGACTACGGCGTGCCGGGCGGTGGTCGCGCGCTGCCGGTACTGCGGTTCCTGCAGCAAGTGAGGCGCGCCCAGCACGCCGCTAGAGCAGAGTCAGTACTATACTATACACCTAGTCTAGACATAAATTCTGTTACTGGCTGTTTACATACATTAAAAAAAATAATAATTTGAATTTCGAACATTAGCTTCTACGATAAAAAAAATAGACTTCTTTCCCAGTCATTATTGTATGTTTTTTGTTTAGAAAATAATTTGTTTTGAAAATGGAGTGGGGCACTAAGAGAATAGGATTGCAGTGATTGCACTGTTCAAAGTAGGTAAGGAGCTAGTCGACATTTTTGATACATTGAAATAGCTAGGGATTATAATGTTTGTGTATCGTACAATCCAAAGGTACACTGAAATCATGTCTGTTGATGACCGTGAGAGATCCGGCCGACCGCGATCTATTCGAACAAACCAGGCCGTTAATGCAGTCAAGGCCAGAATTCGTCGAAATCCCATAAGAAAGCAGATAATCCTTTTCAAAGAAATGAGAATCCCACCAAGGACACTTTCTCGGATTATCAAACAAGACTTACCGTAGATACACAGGATATACCTTAAATCAGACACTAAAACAAAAGAGAGTCGAGAGATCAAAACAGCTGTTACTTCGATACGCGGACGAAAAACGCAGAAAAATATAAAAAAAACTTTACCAATGAAAACATTTTTTCAATCGAGGAGCACCACAACAAACAAATTGATCGAGTGTATGCACACAGCTCTAAAGAAGCCGCTGAGGTAGGAGCTAAAGTTCAGCGAGGCCATCATCCAGCATACATCATGGTTTGGTGGGATGTCTCCTACCAAGGAGTTATAAAACGAGATACCGTGTTAGAAGTGGTAGTTAAACCTCTCAACAACACCTAATTCAAAAACGAAGTGTGGATATTCCAACAGGATTCAGCCCGGATCATAAGGCGCGCACTACCCAAATTTTGCTTCCAAGTTTCCAATGGAAACCGTTCGTAAATCCACCGACGAATGGCCCGAACGTTTTAAAGCGTGCGTTAAAGCTAAGGGTGGACACTTTGAATATAACTAGTTTAGTACGTTAACATATCTTTTTCACTCTACATAATCACATATAAAACTTTAAAATAAAATATTTTTTTAGAAATTATTTTCTTTGTAACGGAGCTTATGGCTAGACTAGGTATAAACTCCATAAATTGATAATGCGCTGGAACCTTGTCTATAAAACACCCGCGTGACGTCATTTAAAAATATACAGTATATATAGCAAATAGTGGCATGGCAAAGGTATAAAAAAAATTGTGTCTGATCTCAATCCTACTCAACTCAATGAGTTGTCAACCAGTTTTTATTTGTTAACGATACTGATTGTTGAATGCAATTACGTCATCAAAATGACGGCCAGGTGCATTAGCAATTGGAGGTTGGACAGCATCATGGCTGTCTTTATTTTTGAGGCTGCTGTTCTGAACAGGGATGTAGTGCGCCATCCAAGCCGATCCCTTAAAATCTTAAGCCAGGAATGTCATCTTCTTCCAGAACTGCGTTTACCTGTTATTTTCCCCTTAATTATAAGATGAAGAACTTTATATTTGTTATTCCTCATCTAGTGACTAAAATAAGACAGTTTCGGGCACATACGGTACTAATGAGTTCGAGATCTTTGCCCATACTTTGGGGTACTGATACGTTGGTAATCATATCACGCCACGAGATCTTCAACACCTACATTTCGAAGGCTTCCAATTTGTTAAACGCATTTGGGTAAGTGTCCATTATTCAACCCCATACAAAACAGTACTGGGAAAATGGTAACAACAAACTATACGCATTCGGAGTCCAAGACTTATTCTTGTTGCATAGGATCTCACTCATTCTGAAAAATGCGCTTCTGACCATCTATACGAATTGTAACGTCTTGCAAATGACTTCCGTCTACACTCATCCAACTGCCCTGGTATTTAAATTTTATGACTCTTTCCACATGCTGGTTCTCGATTAACAAGCTGTGGTATCAAGTATTTTTCTATAGTATAAAGTAAAATTTTATTTTTTTATATATATACTATATTTAAAACAACAACAACATATATAAAAAATCTATATAATAATTATGACCTCGTTCACGTTAGTTTTAATTGATTTATTGTTTATTTACAGCTTAGGAGACGCGTGGGCGGGACACAGTAGAGGGCCACCGATTATAGTTCACTGTTCTGCGGGTATCGGACGGACAGGTACATATATGCCATAATAACTATATTATTGAATATATATATATACTTAAATAGGGAATATGCATACTTTTTGAAAATGTTTATATATGATAATTTACATCGTTATATAACTGTAAAAAAATGCCCGGCACCGAAAAACTTAAGTTTAAACGCCGGAATTTCAATTTATTAGAGATTTTAGAGTGTAGGCTCTAGGTGATATGACATTTTAAATCAATATGGATTATGAGTGATTAATTATTATTCAATTACCCAAACTGATTAACAACTAATCGTTTTTTGTTTAAGTTAAATATACTTTTTAATAATGATATAGTTTCCCAAATTGGTGAAATAAAAATAAAAGCCTAAAACGTCATTTAAATTGTAATCTAATCTGATAATCTGTATTATGTCGCAAGTTGCTTATTTTGCGACATATACATTGATTATTCTTTATATATACATTGAAAATCCACTTGGTCCCTGGCACTCTGAAATGGGATTCGAACCCACAACCTTTCGCAATCCGGGCGACTGCTCTAACCGCTGAACTACCCAGGCTGTTTGGGTGGATGCCTAGGGGCATATAAAATAATCAGTAATTTGTTGTTCTTTTTTTACTCGCCCTATGTTACTCGACTTGCAAGTTAATTGCATAAATTGGGTCGTTTTGCAACGCTCCACGGTATGATGGATGTATATAATTTCTAAATACCGAAATTATATTCATGGATGTTTTGTAAATAGGTTTCTTACACGTCATAGGGCACGGGTTTTCTAACCTCACTGTTTAGGTTGCGTTTAACAGATATGTAAGTACAAATTGAAATTCGTATATCTTGAGGAGGTATATTAACAAAAAAAAACTATAATCCAATGAAGATTCCTTCAATAATGCAAATAAAATTCAAAAAAACTTAATTTGAAGTTTTACTTCATGTTAAAAGTATGTATACCCAACAAATCTTTGGACATCATTATTATTTACAATAGATGTATTTTTAGAAGCATAACCAGCAAAATGTTAGTTTCTTTTTTCTATCTTACTAATAATTGATTCAAAATATTAAATTCTCTTTTTTTCAACTTTTCCCAAAGATAATGAATAGTCTGGCAGTAATTATAAGGTATGTAAGGGGCTTAGTCCGGTGAATATGGCGGATGATCGAGGATCTCGAAGCCAGCATCTTGGATTGCTGCCATGGTAAATGCAGACTTGTGGGCCGGCGCGTTGTCTTTATGGAACAAAACTTTTTTCGTTACTTTTCCTCGTCGGTTTTTAAGGATTTCCTGACGTAATTTTTTTATTTGTTCTGCGTAGACCTTACCTGTGATAGTGGCTCCATGTTTTAGGTATTTAATCGTTATCAACCCCTGGCTGTCCCAAAAAACTGAACCAATGATCTTGCCGGCGGATGGTTGACTTTTCAATTTCTTTGGTGTGGGAGATGTCGGTCTTTCCCAGGACATTGATTGATTTTTCGTTTCTGGATCATAATGATGAAGCCATGTTTTATCCATTGTTACGAATCGAGCCAAAAAAAAATCAGAATCTCGTTGAAACAGTTCCAATGAGCTCTTTGAAATGTTGAGTCGCGTTTGCTTTTGTGCGTCCGTTAGTATTCTCGGGACCCAACGCGCGGATACCTTTTTCATTCCTAAGTGATCTTGCAAAATGCTATGCACACTACCACTTGAAATCTTCAACTCTTCAGCTATTAACAGTTACACGGCGATCATCCAGAACAATTTTTTCAACTTTCTCGACCATTTCCTGAGTGACTGACGTTGAAGGGTGGCCCGAGCGCGGGTCATCTTTAACCGATGTTCTACCACGTTTAAACTCTGCACTATCTCACATAAATCTTTAAAAATTTGTTCCGTAGTAAAATTTTTAAAGCAAAAGTATTTTATTACTGCACGGATTATATTTTATCCATTTTTTGCGAGAGTCAACGACGCGTCACAAACAAATAATTAATACAACTGACACAGACAAGATAGAAACCTAATTGTTTGAGGGTATTATAACAAAGACCTAATCTTTCCGTGACCATAATTTCTTTTTCAAGTATTCTCCATTACTACGTCATTCTCACTACTTTTTGAACCCCTCGTAGTCCTCATTCTAAAGCAACAATTATCGTAATAAAATATATTGAACCATTTTTTCAATCAGACGCATATTCCCTATTGTGTACATTTTTATTGTCTTTTGGCTGTTTTATTTACTGATTAAAATAAAATAAATTATAGAAACGGTTACGTTAAGTATGTTTATATCGCAGGCACGTTTCTAACGCTGGACATTTGCACGATGCGCCTATCAGCGGAGGGCGTGGTGGACGTGCGCGGCACAGTGGAGCGAGTGCGGGCACAGCGGGCCCACTCCATACAAATGCCAGATCAGTACGTGTTCTGCCATCTCGCCGTGCTAGAGTACGCGGTCAGTATACTCAACATATCGTAGATTATTTTTTTTGCAAATAAATAATAATTTAATACTTAACCGTATGTCTGTGATTAATTGTGTAACTACAATTAATCACAGACAGTGATTAATTGTAGTTAATCGATCGAAAACAGACAGTCAATCGAAAACGCTCCCTATAAATGCAAGCTAAAAAGTGACGTCCCATTTTAGTATGGTATTAAAAACGGACGGGCGTGTGAACAGTCGTAATAGATACGACGCAGTTAATCACAGAACACTAATTACTACATCGTCGAAATAAAGTGAAAACCTATATTGACATAAATCTCGCAATTAATCTACCTAAATAAAACCTTGTGTAAAACTTATATATGTATATATCCCCTATTTGTTTCTTATATTTTCACGCGCACTATTCATTAAATAAAACTGCTTTTAAACGTATGTAACGCGTTTGTATTAAATTACGTTTTAGACACAATGGATACTTGACGGGGTCTGTTAAATCAGTTTAAAAGTAGTTTTATTTAATATATATCCCCTCTTTAGTTTTTTTGGTAAGCTCTAGATAAACTTTCACATGAAAGTTTTTGGTATGAAATTAGATAAATTTTCGAATTGTAAATTATGATATTTTATCAATTTTGCATTCACAATGCTATAATGAAATTATAGGTAATGCACGGGTATTTAGAATCAGCGGATCTGTCCGGGTTCGATGACGATACGGAAGAGTCGGAATGAAGACTGTCGCGGCCGCCCTGCGTCCTGTTGTAGGCGCCCGCCTTCGTCCGCGCCCTGATTACTAAGTTCAAAATTGGATGCCGAAGTTAGTTTTTTTCGTTAAAATGTGAAAAACTGCTGTGTGTACAATAGGAATAACAATTTAATTTGAAGCGGACTATTAAAAAGAAGTGCCTATAGCGAAATAAATGATCCGGTTTAATTTTTTGGTCTTTACCTATGACAATGTTTTGATAATTGTTTATATATATATTTTATTGGAACTTGCACAGAGTTACTTTTTATCTATCTAGGATTACGATTAATGCCAGTGTCATCTTGTTTTTTTTATTTGTAAAATACGAAAATTATCAGTCGTCGATTTCATAGGTAAAGACCCGATATTGTCCTCATACTCTTACGGCTTTCCGATACATATACAGCAAGGTCGTAAGGGTTGTTAACAGTCACCGGTGAATATTACTCAATATGTGTATTAATGTATAAGCCTACATTACATGAGGAGGGCCGGAGTTATATAACGGAGGGCGCACGCTAGAATAAGATTAGTGAATATATATGCGGAAGGACGTTCCCCGCAGTGCGAGTTTGCCGAGCTATCCTGTTCTCTGAAAGCAGACCTCGTGATTTGAGTATTTATTTTGCATTATAAATCAGTTTTGTAACCAAAAATATTTCCGTAATTATTTAGTATTCTATTTATTTAAATAAGAAATATGGCTGTGTGAAGTTTTCGTCTGTAATTTGTATAGTTATATGTTTGTTTTGTTATGAATGATAGAAAACACGCCTCGTTCTGAAAAAAATTAAACGCATTGGATTTTTACCCGACTGCAAAGGAAGGGTTATTATAATATAAATTTTTATATGTGACGAAGACGAGAGTTTGATACGTTTTATAAAGTGGAGGTGCTGGTAGTGTAATACGTTCATGTCTCGACTGTCATCCGATTGTTTCATTCATAAACTTGTATTGTAGTAATATTAACGTTTTTTATATTCGCTGAAATTGCCGTCTCTTGGATTTTGCACTGAATCGTGAATGATACGAATTATTATATAAAATAATTTATAAATGCGCAGGCTATTTCACTCTCTGATACTTTGGACTATAACGACGTATTTCGTGTAACAGCGCGTGAGTGAAATATCTGCTCTTCCATAGACTGAGTAAAGTTAATATGCTCCAGAATTTTACAAACGGCGTTATAATTTAAAGATATTTAGGTCATTATCGCACATCAATTTAGTTAAGGGTGATGAAATTTTATCAATGAAAAATATGATCAATGTTAAATTTAACGAAACTAAAATATAATAAATAACAAAACGAACTATTTACATAAATTATAGAAATATTTTGAACGGCAAATGCATTATTTATTTTTCAAACAGTGTATTAGCGACATATCTATAGTTAACCAATAAATCACCGTCCTCTCGCGCAACTTACATATCGCCGTAGTCATTTTGTAATATATTTTGATTTGCAACTTCCTGCACAATGTAATAAAATATTTCAGTGATTATCTGTAAACCTATATCTGTAAAACTTTTAAAATTACAGCCAACTAATGAAATCAAAATTATGGAGCATACTTTCTAGGTTTTGACAGTTTTCTGTTGCGCTAAATTATATTTAGATATTGGTGATGATTTTTTGAAAGCTTTTTACGGAGTGATGATTTTCGCAACAGAAAATATTTTGTCTCGATCTAGCAAATTTTAGAATTAAAGTTTCTCTTATTATTTAAGACTAATAAATTGTTGATCTGACAGCACTGTTGATGATGTATCTGTAAATATTATTTTTCTGTTATACCTAAATTAAAACCTTGTGTAATAAAGAAAAAACTTGTAATATATTAATATCTTGGTTTTATTGAAGATTGCATTGACGATTAAATTAATTCCTTACAATATAAAAAAAACGATAGGAACTTAAATTCAAGAAGAAATACCGACTACTATTAATATTTATGGATTACATTAACTATTTAAACGCCTAATACGGGCATGTTGTTGCCGCGTACAAATAGCGTCGGCGGTAAGTCGCGGCTTAATATCTCCAGCCACGCCATATACAACGTAGGCGAAATGGAATTCTATAAAAACAAAATAAAAAATAACATTAACACATGAATTAGAAATAGTCGAGTACAAGTTATAGCTTGAGAAGGAGTAATAACTTAAGCAAATATTTTTCAACAAGATTCGTGAATTTGAATTCATTATATATACTCTTAGTTATAATTATAGATTAACTTTAAACTTGCTAAAAAGGTCAAGGAATCTAGGCGAACCGCGGCTAAGATGAATTTTGATATTTATGGTTGTATTTTGGTCCTACAATTATCATGTAAAAGCTTCACGATGAAGCTTAACCATAGTAATTGTAAAACAAGTAAAGCACACTATTATTTTTTTGGGCTGTTTAGTTTTCGCATGTTAAGTGATAAATAGGAAAAGTAAAACGAGTTATATACCTACTAGTCAAAACAAAATAAGGCCACTACGTATTTTTACACTTTGGGTTAATTTAGTCACATGAATGCAATCATGAGTATTTGATATTTATGATATATTCATTTACAGCATTAAGAAGTCCTATTTGAGTATACCATCAGCAAAAAATTGTTAAAGTAGGTGTTTTTGGAACTACTTCATTTTATTATCTTTATATAAGTCGATAGTTAAATTCAATCAAAGTTTGGAATTAATCTTGTATAGTTCAAATATTGTTTAACTATCGTGTTAATTATTCTTTTGCAAACACTATGCCGTGTATTCGACAACATAAGGACTTACCAAGCTGTAACTTTAATTCTAGAAGGACATTCACAGCGTTCTGTAGGTCAACAACTCTGCTATTTACGAAGAGCGATCTAAAATGCTTAGAATCGTTCGATATCGAATAACCACATTACGAAATCCGTGTCGTAGCTGATATGATATTCGACCACAATGCGTTGTGGCAATGAAGAAAAATCATGAAGTGTATTGAACCATATTTGATTAGGTTAGGTAAGTTTAAAATGAAACACTTGTTTAAACCAATTAATGCTCAGAACGCATCGTGACTTTCCTTCATTGCCATAACACGTTGAGGTCGAATAGCATGTCAGCTTCGATACAGATTTCGCTATGTCATTATTTTGCGATTGTCATAACACGGTGTGAGGTTATTCTGCGATTACCACAATGTGTTGGGATCTAGTTTTTCGCTCGTTGAGCGATTTCGATCTTTGAGAGTAACATATATAATATAATCCTCCTAACATCTTTTTTATCCGTCAGCTTTTATGAGCATAGTCTCTGCCTCCTGGGGAGTGACAGTAGGACGATGACGACGACTCTTGTCTGTCACCAGAGGCCTACCCACCAATATGACACCTGGGAAATGCTCTCCTTTTTTAGGTCGAGGAAGTGCATTAGGTAATTTTTATTTATATTATATTTTTGCCATTAAGCGACAGGGGGTGTGTGGGACTCTCCTTCGTGAACACATCCCGTAGCTAGCCGCGAGGTGGGTTCCCGGAGGCCTACCCACAAAAACCCCTACGGCGTACCCTCACCTGGGGATGAGACCCGGGAAATCGAGGGAAGTACCCTCTTAACCTAATCTATCAATATGACTTACTCTTCTAGGAATAGGGAGTGACATGACAATCATTCCTGCCTCTGAAGAGTTTTCTAAAACAACTTCACGCAACCGAAGATATCTGCTCGTTTTTGCGTATTGCTTTTTCAATTCGTTTTCTGTTATTGAACATTCTGAAAGTTGAAATTAGTTTTTTAATACATTTGAATTTATTTGTGACGAAATGTGCTGAAAATTGCAGTATGATGCTGCATTTTATAAAATGTACCCAACTTATTGGGTCTGCAAAGTTAATATCTCAAAAGAAAAGTGAGTTAATTTCATTGTACTCGTAAACTATTTTCATATAACTGAATAATAAAAAGCTTTTATTTTTCAGTTATTTATTTTACTACGTAGCGTTACACGTAAGTGCTCTTGGTGAGACAGCACTTTATGTCAATATTTTGTTCAATAACATACCTCCTTGCTCTTTGAATCTATAAGGCCGCACTATATTTTCAAAAAGTGCCCAAGTTTCCTCTTCTGGAGCGTCATAGATTCCAGTAACTAATTTTAATTGGGAATATTCTATTCGATACATAGCGAGTACGTTTTCTATACTGTTGCATGGAAAGAATGAGAGTTTAATAAGAGAAAAGAGGACCTATTAAATATATTTCTCGGTAGTGGTATGAGTAGCTCGGTGGCGTAGTGGATATGCGCCGCGTCACGCGATTGTTGTCGTCAAGCAACTTTTGCAAGGGTCGGTCACGGGATGGGTGACCAAAAAATTATTATCTCGACATACTCCGTGCTTCGGAAGGCAAGTTAAGCCGTTGGTCCCGGCTGCATTTGTAGTCGTTAATACCCTCCAATCCGCAATGGGCCAGCGTGGAGGGTCATGGCCCATCCTCCTTAACCATCTATAAGGAAGGCCTGAGCCCCTGCAGTGGGGACGAAATAAAGGGCTGATGATGATGATGATGGTATCAGAGCCATGGAAATCACTTTTTTGCGTATTACTATTTTTCGTACTTTACGTTGTCGTGCCGCCACCAGCTGTTCCAGCACTTGACCCCCGCACTGTACACTGAGTGATGTATAACCCTAAGTACTTTAACATACGGAATATCAATCTTTAGAAAGCCTTTGCACATTTTATCAGTTTCAGAAAGAAGTGGAATACTTAGACAGATATGCTTACCTTTTCTGGGACTCTTCTAAATTACAATCTAGTTTTGGTAGTGCAAATATCCTTAGGGGCCTTTTTTCTTTTGAGGCACGATTCGTTAATACATACGCCAATAGTATGTTGAGACCACCATCATCATACAACCACCATGTGTCAACATTACTATCCTGGAATAAAATCAAATGGATTGAAAATACAAAAGATATTCAAATTCAAATAAGCTTGTGGATCTATTTTCTGATGGAAAAAAAATTTGATCGCCCAAAATTATGTTACCTATGACTGATAGACGAATACTCACAAGAAACTTATCGGCTCTTAACTGTAATAACAACATTATAGGCATAAATATGTGGTAGTACAGAAGGATTGTGCTCACCTAAACTATGTCATTAGCGGGTTCGATCGCCTAATTTACATATATGGTATCCAATTTTGAAATACCATGATAAAATTCTAACTTCTAGACTACAATGTAGATAAATAAAATAGGTAGGTACTTAAACGTAATAAATCTTAAACACTCACATGATCCATATGAAATGGCTTAGTAAATGACTTATAGGGTTCTGTAGATCTTAGCAGATTGTCTTCACTGCTTATAGCGAAGTTATTTTTTGGCATCGTTATTTTCAGTAATTGACTCTCTGCAATTAGGTAAAATATCGTCGAATAAGCGTACAAAGTTTTTGTTTTAGGTTCTACCTATTTAGTCGCGCCTAACATAGAGAACACTGGAGGGTTTTAGAGAGTGTGTCCGCAGGGTAGCGCCTCTCATAACTTCGTTCGTTTTAATAAAACAACCTCGATAGCCTTTTTCATTACCAAGCATTCTTCAAGTGGAGCGGAAAGTCAGAAGGGGATGGTGAATTGCGCGGCAAAAACAGTTTTTATTAAATAATTTGAATCTTTAAATGTTATAGACAAAGTGACCCATCACATATTATCAGTTTAGGGATAACATAACTAGATATGAAATTAAAATGTGAATTATAAGCGAAGATAATTTGAAAATTCATGTTTTGGCACTGACAGGATCATTAAAATTATGTAGTTTTTAATTTTTAAATTATGTCTTAAATGGACATTATTTCTTATAAAACCAGTTGAAGGGTAGTTATTCTGGGTACACGGGTACAAGAAAACTAACCATCTGATTCCTCTTTATCGAGTTCAAAGTCTGAGTTTGTGTGCATGGCAGTAAACACAGCGCGAGCTTCAGCAGCGTCGCGCGTCGACGCCCGCGACTGTGCCGACGTTGGTGACTCGCGCAACATTTGTGGTATACGGAATATACAAACTGCAAACTGCCTCTCGAATGCAACTCTGAAGGATGAATGTTTATATCAACAGAAGTCGCTTCCGTGTAGTTAGGTTAGATTAAGTATACGGCTCCTACTTATGTTGAACGCTATCTGTATCATTATGTAACCCATTATCCGTAACTTCATCCCCTTCTAAAAACAAGATTCGAAGTGATGAACATTATTAAATTTTTCACTCACCTTATAATTTCTACGTAGGAAATCACGTCCTGTTGGTGATCATTGATCCAGTTATTTTTAAAACCGAGAAGAATAATATTAGGTGAAAAACGACCGAGTCCAGCGCACTGCATCAATACTCTAGCGCCGCTTTCAAAATCCAAGCCTTCTAAACAAATATAAAATGCTCGGTACTTGTGCGAATATAACCATTCTTCCATTTTATATTTATGTTTTAAAGAATCGGCATGAGACATTATCTTCTGCAATGCAATAAATTAAATTGATCAACAAATCAATGCTAGCAAATTAAGTGCATAAAAAGACTACGAAGACTATTTTTCGAAGGATAATACTACGAAGTCGGTGATTAATAATCACGTTTTGAAGTGAGTATTACGGTGACTCGGCTACATTCTTTATAGTATCTTCCTCAAGGACAGAGTCTGATAGCATGCCTTAGATAGAAACTCTTCGCTTGCTATACTACTATTCAAATAATTATACATTTGTAAAAATAAGCTCACGCACATTGTTGACGTTTGCGGCGATCATGAACGAGCCGCTGGATATGAACAGAGTGGCAACATCTAGGAGTGCGCGATGG